CCCCCCCCCCCCCCTCGGGGTCAAAATGGGGCGGGGGGTGGGCGAAAAGGGGGGTGTTTTTTTCAAATTTTTTCCAAAAGCCAAAAGGTTGGGGGGCCCCCCCCCCCCCCCCCCCCCCCCCCCAGCCTGGTCCATTTTTTTTTTTTCTTGTTCTCTCAATTCCCGATCATCCCCCCAATCCACTTTACCTCTCCTCTTCTGTGAGTCACACTGCGACCTTTTGGATCGCATCCGCCTCCCAAACCCCCCCCATACCATGTACACACGTTTGTCTTTTGTCGCATGATCATCCCTGACCAAACCTTGTCGACGGCCGCCGTTCCTGGATCTTGCATCACCTGCGAAAGCCCCCCCCTTTCCCTCCCCTTCCCTTCCGCTCCGATTGTCTCTGTCTGTCTCGTTTTCCAATCCTTCCCTTGACCCTATTTTCTTCGCCCCCAAGGGACGAGCCAGTCCTGAACTCCTTACCCGCCGATGCAGACCCCAGCTGCCGCGGAAAGTGAGTGCATGTCGGCCGATGCGCGCTAAGCCCGAGGCATCGCATGGTCACGACACCTTGACTCTGATTCGAACGCCTCATTCGCTCACTTCTCCCTGTCGGCGGAGCGTACATGGAGGTACAAGCTTGGGTCTGTTGGGTCTGGCTCGGGCTCACTCTCCTTTTTCTTCGCACAGCATCCAAGACGAACAGGGATAGGGATCGCCGGGGCAAACCACTTTACGCGACAACACGCCCGCGTCCTCGGCTCTTCACCCCACCCATGTCGCTGCCTTGACCGTCACACATGCACACCAAAATGACTTGGACCCCCCCCTCCCCCTCCCCCTCCCAAACGTCACCGAAAGAGGCATCCACCACACCACCCCCTTTCCCACGAATGAAGCCAGAAAGATGCGGGTAGCTCCAGGCAACAAGGGCTGTTTTGATGACTTGTCGCAACTTTTAGGCAGTTTGCCACGTACGGCTCTCAATCTATATCCACCGCCGAGCGCTTCCCATTAAAGGCCTCTCTAATCTTTCCATCGCTGCGCCTTCTGCACCTCCTCCTCTCCTCTTCTATCCTTTCAGCCCCCAGGTACTGATCTGACAAGCGCCTAGCTGCACCTCTGAGTGCTTTTGTGACCATCTTGGTCTTTTAGGTGAAGCCCTTCAAAGCAAGTTTTCACATCTGGGGA